CCCTACCGGCCGCCCGCCTGCCTGGCCCCGCGCCTGTCCCCAGTACAGGATCTTTTTCTTCCCAATGCATTTTTTTAAATAAATTTTTTTTTTTTAATACATTTTTCCCAGCGCGGGGGTAAATCCCCCCCTTCCCCTGCACCCCCCAGCCTGCGCGCCGTGCTGCCTGCCGGCGCTGCCCCCTCGCCCCCCACGCTGGCAAAGCCTTCGCGCCCCTTTTGCCTCCCCCAGCGCTGGTTTTGGCACCCAGCACCGGTTGTTGATCAGGTAGCAAAAGCACCGTCTGATCCCAGAGAGCCCGATTTTTTAAAAAAATAAATACCTTTGTGCGGGAAGATGGCCGGCAACTTTTCCCCAGGGGGGTTTTGCAAGGGCTACCTGGTCTGCGTGCAATTAGCCGGCAGCTTGGCTAGTATCCCAGCTGTTAAATCCCCAGGACAGATGGTCCCAGCGGCGCCTGAGCAGGTAACGGAGCGGAATTTCACTCTATCAAGCAGGCGCAGACTGGGCTGAAACCCTCCAGCGTTCTAATAAAGCATTAAAAATTCATGGTATGGCAAAAACCCAAGCGCGGTATTTGTTTTGCTAAAGCGAATCTTACACGTTCAGTAAAATTAAGATCATCAGCAAAAAAATAAGACAGCAAACGTGTATTTTTTTCGCAAGCAGCTTCGCGATGGCAGAACTTGCTTTAGTGACTGCCAGTTCCCCCCTTCCCATTTTGGCAGCCCCAATCTCCTGCGTTTATCGTGCTTCTTGCCCCAGTTCCCAGCTCGATGTCGCATCCCGTCCCGCGTAGCTGTGCCCAAAGTGAAACTGGGCCGGCTGGAAATGGCCGGCGTTTGGCTGGATTTTCCTTCCAGCACACCGTATCCTCCATCTGACCTGTTACCGGGCTACACCGCAGGGTGTAGGTGTAGGAGTGTGGCTCTGGGAAGCAGGGTTTTTTTTCGCTGATGGAAGTTGCGAATTAAGTTGATTCACTAAAAATAAAAAAAAGCAGAGGGAGGGAACTGGTGACCAAAGCAGCCCAGAGCTGGAACTGGAAGGCAGAGCTGCAGAGGGATTACAAACCCGTAAGACACCTCCTGATGTCTCATTCCCTCCTTTGGGCTCCTCGGTAAATAAACAGGCTCATGCCAAGGACGCACCTCGCGCTGTGCAGATTTAGGCAAACTGGGGATGACGTGATGTATATTTTTGGCTCCTTGCTGCTCCAGCCTCAGCAAAATGATTCCCCCTGCTCACGGAGCTGCTTTCGCGCAGCCGACCTGGGCCACCGCGTGCTCCAGCCTGACAGCTCCAGCCGCCTCTAGAAAAAGAACAAAAACCTCATTGCTTTTTCTCTCGCCGCCCGCTCCTCGGGGAAGTCTCGCCGCTGCTTTTGCTGTTCTGGCTCAGACACATCACTTAGCGAGGCCAGACACCGCGTTTTGCTGGCGTGGGCGTCTGCCTTGACCTTGGGTGGGTGGACTTGTTAGCTGTGACTTCTTCCTCTGCTTCATCAGTGCCAATAACATCGCTTCTGCAGTGGCTGCACCCACGTATTTCCCTGGCTTTGCAGCAAAATCCCATCCCTATCACTGATGGGGAACTTGTATCTTGGTGTAAATTGGATAATTTTGTACGGCTGCGTTCTGCCTTGACCTTGGGTGGGTGGACTTGTTAGCTGTGACTTCTTCCTCTGCTTCATCAGTGCCAATAACATCGCTTCTGCAGTGGCTGCACCCACGTATTTCCCTGGCTTTGCAGCAAAATCCCATCCCTATCACTGATGGGGAACTTGTATCTTGGTGTAAATTGGATAATTTTGTATGGCTGGGTTCAGCTGCTGTGGGGGGGAGGTCTGGGGGGGGCAGAGGGAGCAGAAAGACATTGGCATTCCCCATCCCAGGAGACCAAACCCCACCCCACGGGGGTTACAAAAATTCACAACTGGCCCTCGCTGACTGAGGAGAGAGGCCGGGACACAAACTACAAGGGTAAATATTTATTCACGCTGGGACATGAGGTGTCCCAGCCAAATTGGAGCACCCCAAATGTGGTTTACATGGGGGTTTTGTACCCTTCAAACCAGTACAACACAATCTGGAACATGTCCAGAGAAGGGCAGCGGAGCTGGGGAGGGGTCTGGAGCCCCAGGCTGCTGGGGAGCGGCTGGGGGAGCTGGGGGGGTTCAGCCTGGAGCAGAGGAGGCTGAGGGGAGCCCTCATCGCTGCCTACAACTGCCTGAGAGGAGGGGGGAGCCGGGGGGGTCGGGCTCTGCTCCCAGGGAAGGGGCGATGGGACGAGGGGCAGTGGCCTCAAGTTGTGCCAGGGCAGGGTGAGGTTGGCCATGGGGAACAATTCCTTCCCCTTGGGGCTGTCAGGGGCTGGAAGGGGCTGCCCAGGGAAGGGGTCGAGTCCCCAGCCCTGGGGGGATTTAACAGCCGGGCAGAGGCGGTGCTGAGGGCCGGGGTTTGGGGGTGGGATGGCAGGGGTAGGGGAGCGGTTGGGCTGGGGGAGCTTAAAGGGCTTTGCCAACCCAAACCATTCTGTGATTCTATTCTTTGATTTGACTAATCACTAACACCCAACCCCTCCCGCCCCAATTACAAATCATAGTCAAACTTTGCAAAGCAACTCTGCTTTTGCAGTGTTCTTGCTCCTTGTCTATTGATCCCGATGTCCCTGGAGCCAGTCGTGTGCTGGGGTTACTGATCTATGATGCCAGCTGATGCTGGGAGGGTTTCAGAGACGTGTCAGAGGGGTGGGGATGCCGGCGTTATCTTGGTTGTCCCGGGATATCGTTCAGCTTTCATGGACAGCCCTGAGCTTCCAAAAAGCAAAGCCCTTCTTCCTCGGGCTGGGCTGTCCTGTAGCTTTACCTAAGCATGAACAATACCAACGTCTCCATAAAATCCCACTACCTCATTACATTACAGTGCTTAATGTGAAATAATACATTACATTAATGTGAAATAATACATTACAGTGCTTAATGTGAAATAATACCTATTAACAAAGTGAATACACTTTTGTGCTATAAAGGCTGGTTGAGCTAATAGTTAGGGAAGGGAATTTTCATAAGCCATGAGAGCTGTGAAATGTTCTTATTAAATCAGCTCTCCCTTCATTCCCTGGGTTACTTTGTAAGTTGGTCATTTTGAGGATTTGTTGAATGTCATTTTATGCCTCAAAGAGCTCCTGACCTCAGGTGGGCAGCTTGTAGGGTGATGTGCTCAGTGCTGAAAACAAGAGAAGAAGAAGAAGAAGAGAAGAAGAAGAGAAGAAGAAAAGAAGAAGAGAAGAAGATTCTGACCTGTCAGCAAAATCTGATTTATGACCAGATTTGCTAAGACTGTGTCCAGGCCATATTCCTCCATTGCCTAATGGATGCAGTGCATGGTGGAGACCCTCCGTAAGTGGCTTGGTGAGGGTGAGCGTGGTGGTGGTCACACTGCTTGCGTTGTTACAGAGGTTAAACTTCATTCCCTGGTGTTTCTGTGGTCTTACACCAGATGCTCACTGGCTCCCCTGACAGCAGCTTGCTTCTTCCACTGGGTTTTAACTCGACACAACCATGCTGATAGCGACTATTCCACTTTTCTTGGAGAATATTAAATCCTAAGGGTCGCTCAGCAGTTTCAGAGCCTGCTGCAGTCTCACGTGTATGTGTCCAAGGGCAGGAAGCACCTGCAGTCTTCGCAGCCTTCCTCCAACCCCCCTGAAGGGCTGCTGCCGGAGCACCTCTGCGAGGAGAGGAGGTGCTTTGCTGTAGGGGCAGGGAACGTAGCATCAGGAGACCTGGACTAAGGGCCAAATCCAGGAAAGGAGGTGGATACTGCTCTGGCGTTTTCCTTTTCTTCTTTTTTCTTTTTCTTTTTCTTTTTT